AGCCAGAGCACCTGCGCGAGCTGCTGCCGAGGTACCACCAGCAGATCCAGCCGGAGCCCAGGCACCTGGCACACCTACTACTGCCACTACTACTCCAGCGCTCAAGGAGACTTTGGCTCAGTTCATGAGCATGTACACCACCTTGGCTCAGGCGGGGTTGCTTCCCCTCGCTGCAGCCACATCCCAGGCCAGGGGAGGAGCACAGACTCCCGCCGACCGCACTCCTAAGCAGCGAGTGCAGGTTGAGCAGGTTCCCGAGATTATTCCCCCACCGCCTACAGCACCAGTTCAGCCCGAGGATGGGTCAGCTGCTTCAGAGGACGAGCAGCGGAGGCTTGAGAGGTTTAAGAAATATGATCCCCCAGTGTTCAGTGGCTTAGCATCAGATGATGCCTTGGGATTTTTGGAGGAGTGTCATCGCATTCTTCGTACTATGGGCATAGTGGAGTCCAGCGGGGTCTCTTTCACTGCTTTTCAGCTTCGGGGAGCCGCCTATGATTGGTGGCGCACTTATGAGTTAGACAGTCCAGTCGATGCTGCTTCACTGACTTGGACCCAGTTCTCGGACATCTTTATGAGAGAGTTTGTTCCCTAGAGCCTCAGAGATTCATGGCGCGCAGAGTTTGAGCACTTGCGCTAGGGTGCTATGACAGTTTCAGAGTATGCCATCCGTTATACCATGTTGGCCAGGCACGCACCGGCTTTGGTTGCTACAGTTCGAGAGAGAGTTCGCAGGTTCATTGAGGGCCTTATTCTGCCCATCAGGTCTAGCATGGCTCGAGAGTTGGAGATGGACATTCCTCATCAGCAGGTCGTGAGCATTGCTAGGAGGATTGAGGGTATGCTCGCCAGGGAGCGAGGAGAGAGGGAGGCCAAGAGGTCTCGAGAGTCGGGTCACTACTCTGGTGCCTGTACCTCATCAGCAGGTCATTATGGGAGAGGTTATTCGGTACATTCAGCTCTTCCAGCAGCCGGCAGTACTCCAGCTCCACCTCCACCTCAGGAGCCTTATTATGCACCTCCAGCTTCTAGCGCGCCTCCTGCGCGGGGTGCTTCCAAAGGGCAGCCCAGCAGGCCTAGTCCCAGCCAGTCACAGCCACCGCGACCTCCCAGAGCTTGTTTTGAGTGTGGTGATACACGCCACATGGTTAGGGACTGCCCCAGACTTGGTAGGGGTGCATCTTCACAGGCTGCTCAGCCGCAGCGTGCTCCTCAGAGTTCTCAGGCCGTGATCACAGCTCCAGCAGCTACCCCACCTGCCCAGCCGGCTAGGGGCGGAGGTCGGGGAGATAGAGGTCGCCCTCGAGAGCGGGGCCGGGCCAGATATTATGCTATTCCTGCTTGTACTGAGGCTGTTGCCTCCGACTCCGTCATTACAGGTATTATTCTGGTTTGTCACAGAGAGGCATCGGTTCTATTCGATCCGGGCTCTACTTACTCTTATGTGTCTTCTTACTTTGCTCCTTATTTGGGTGTGCCTCGAGATTCTTTGAGTGCCCCCGTTTATGTTTCTACTCCTGTGAGAGATTCTCTTGTTGTGGACCGCATTTATCGGTCATGTTTGGTTACTATTCGTGGTTTTGAGACCAAAGCAGACTTATTATTACTCGGTATGGTGGATTTTGACATTATTTTGGGCATGGACTGGTTGTCGCCCCACTTTGCTGTTCTTGATTGTCACGCCAAGACCGTGACGCTGGCTATACCAGGTGTTCCGCGTATTGAGTGGAGTGGTACTTTAGATCACACTCACAGTAGAGTTATCTCTTTTCTTAAAGCTCAGCGCATGGTTGAGAAGGGGTGTGCCGCGTATTTGGCTTATGTGAGAGATGTTAGTGTTGATACCCCTTCTGTTGATTCTGTTCCAGTGGTACGGGATTATCCCGATGTATTTCCAGCTGATCTTCCGGGCATGCCGCCTGATAGAGATATTGATTTCGGCATTGATCTGTTGCCGGGCACTCAGCCCATTTCCATTCCTCCGTATCGTATGGCTCCTCCTGAGTTGAAGGAGTTGAAGGATCAGTTACAGGAATTGCTTGGTAAGGGTTTTATTCGACCCAGTGTTTCACCGTGGGGTGCTCCTGTTTTGTTCGTGAAGAAGAAGGATGGTTCCATGCGCATGTGTATTGATTACCGCCAGCTGAACAAGGTTACAGTGAAGAACCGTTATCCTTTGCCTTGCATTGACGATCTGTTTGACCAGCTTCAGAGCACACAGGTGTTCTCTAAGATTGACTTGCGCTCAGGTTACCATCAGTTGAAGATTCGGGAGCCAGATATCCCGAAGATGCTTTCAGGACTCGGTATGGTCATTACGAGTTCCTTGTTATGTCTTTTGGGCTAACTAATGCCCCGGCAGCTTTTATGCATTAGTATGTTATCGATACAACTCTAGCTACCAAATAACCTCCCTTAGGACTTTGTTGTATGCCTCTTCTAGGTCAATTAACACAATATGTAAGTCTCTCTTCCTCTCCCCATATTGCTCCACTAGTCTCCTCGCAAGATGAATGGCTTCTGCAGTCGATTGTCTTGGTATGAATCCGAATTGGTTCTCAAAAATAGACACATCCTTCCTCACCCTCATCTCCAGCACTCTCTTCCAAACTTTTATAATATGACTTAGCAACTTGATACTCCTATAGTTGTTACAATTCTAAATATTATCTTTGTTCTTGCACAATGGAATCATTGTACTCCACCTTAGTTTTTCAGGCATTTTTGTCGTGTTAAAAATGACATTAAACAACCCAATTAGCCACTCCAAACCTGCCACGCTCGCACTCTTCCAAAAAAAAATTGGATAGTTATTTTCAAAAAAAAATTGAGTGTTTATGAAACTAAAATGACATGGACTACCTAGAGATCATAGTCAATGATGGTAACCTAATCTTATCTTCAGTAAACGGAATAGATCCAGATTTACTCTGATCTGCTTTTCTCCTTTAAAAATATGAACTTCAAATTAAGCTAAAAACTGACCACATAAACCCATGGAAACAAAAGCAATAAACAATCAAACTAGCTTCTTGAAATAGCACCCTAAGTCACACCGGCACAAATCCAGCATAAATCCTAGTTTATGCACAACACCACTACTCTCTCATGATCATATCTACATATAAATGGTGATAAAATAAAAAGAACATAAAGAAATAAAATTAATACATCAAGGAACACATCTGCTGCCATGAACCGCAGTAAACAAAAATTTGCCCTCAGCAGTCAGCAAAGTATAGAACAGCCCAGAAAACCTCAATAGCGAGTACTGATCTCATAAAGCCAAATATTACTAATAAACATAGCGCGTGCGCTTTGGCTGTGATCATTTTGATGCTACGTGCACTAAACAAGGTGAGAAACATGCAAAGTTAAATGCCTAGCATGTGTTGTGCAAAAACAAATGCCTGAAGAAGCCTTCCGTTAAAATAAAGCTTGGATGATGCCATTTTAAAGCCTTTACAGACACAATCAGTCAATTTCTATGCATGAGAAACTGTTAGAAGAATAGGAAACAAAATTGAAGAAGAAAAACTTTGCTGTGTCAAACACACTGTCCTTAAGAGATATTGCCCCTATTGTCTTCAGGGGTTTACAAGCAACTCCTTTCAGGATTAAAGGAAGTCTTTGTATACTGCAAATTAACTTCCGCTACTTCAGGAGATTACTTATATTTATAGAATTTTAGAGATGACTTTTCTGAAAAGCCACTCTCTTTCACAAATAGATATGCCTGTTCAGTTTTGAGACCCCCAAATATTACAAACTAACTTGAGACCCCCAAATATTACAAACTAACTCAACAGAAACATTCAACTACCAACATAATGTTAATGGGGAAACATAATGCCACCCAACTATACAGGAGCATTTCAGGTTTACTAGATTAATTTTGCCACATCAAAGGCAAGGAGGGAAAATAGAAACAGGAAGATTCTCATAAGATATATGCACCATTTTACAAGAATTTCTCTATGCAGGTGGTTAGTGTTGATTTAGGAACTGCACCAATGACTGCATCTTTCTTCTCTCCATTCTTGAAAATCATCACAGTTGGGATGCTTCGAATCCCCAATTCAGTTGCTGTGGAAGGGCTTTCGTCCGTGTTCAGCTTGAAGAATTTAAGCTTGCCAGCATATTCCTTTGCCAGTTCATCAATGACCGGGTGGATCATTCGGCATGGACCACACCACGGAGCCCAAAATTCAACCAGTACAGGTATATCAGACTCTACAACAAGTGACTTCCATGTTTGATCATTAACAGCACCCACTGCAATTTCGAAGAACCGTGTTAAACCAATAAAAGATCCTGATGATGATGGGGATGGTGCAAAAGCAATGCTCTCTAGACAAGACGCATATTGCGCCAGGCTAATTACACAGAAACAGAAACCAGAGAAACAAATTTGTAATTTACTAGACAAGGAAGCTGATGTATCATATTTGTTTACGCTACTTATATTAAGTAAATAAGGCCAAAGATCAAATCGGAAAACATAGAATCCCATATTCTTAACTATGTACGATTCGTGTAACAGGTGCAACATCTACATCTCGCACAGAATAAGGGTGAAGAATGAAGTTCAACAAGGTGAAAGGAAGCACTGATGTACCAAACAATGTTTATTCCCAAAGATATAAAGAAGCTCTACGAGTAACTCATAGGTGCCCACAACATTGGTCAAGTTGGTGGTACTTCTACAATATAGCAAAGAATGCCTCATCATGAGCAATCAACATGCTCATGATAGCTAGGGATGGCAAGCGGTGTGGTGCGGTTGCGGGGCAAACCCGCATAAACTCGCTAAGATTTTAGCCAGTCCCGCCCCGTATTCACCCGCGTTCATCCGCCCCCAACACACACCCGCGTCCACCCACCCTGCCCCACACCGCATAAGTGTTTTTTTTTCCATTTTGTTTGCCTATTTCTTTTTTATATTTTGGCTGAAATTTTCAATTTAATAACCAAAAATTGAAAGTTCTTTTGTTGCTTATGTATTGAATTCTTCAATTTAAACAAAAAATATTTGTTGCTCATTGTGAAAAACGCAAATGACCCCTTATGTATTAATTTAGTATTCATTGTAAAATAGTATTTACAAGAATATATTTTTTCGAGATCTTAAATCCCATTCCTCTATTGAGATTTACCGGAAAAAAACCATCACACAAATGCCGCCATGAACTTTAGTCAAGAAAAAAAAAATTTGATTAGGAAGAATTAGAAGAAATCTTACTTAAACCCACATAACCCACAACCCGCCCCGTCCCGCATTAATTTTTATGAAAAGGTATTTCGACCCGCACCGCCCCGTTTGCCATCCCTAATAATAGCAAACAATATTCATTGAATTTTAGCAGGTAAGTGGAAGTAGCAATTTATGCGGAAATACACCATAGAGACCCCAGTGATGCCTTTTAAGTTTTAACATTCAATTGGCTCATCTTGACACCTCTACTAGTTCCCTTTTATATTGTTGTTAAAGACCACTAGCAAAATAGTATTTCCATCAGATTGGGAAAGAACGAAAAANTTGTTCCGTTTACCTTCTGGTTGTGATTGCGCTATTTACGATTGGGACTACGGATGTCGGGATTCCGGTAGACCGACCCCCCCCTTGTTTGTTTACTTTGGGACTACGGGTTCGATTCCCGGTAGATCCCCCTGCACTTTTACTTTGGGACTGCGGGTTAGATTCCCGATAGATTCCCCTGCACATTGATAGTTGGACTACGGGACGGTATCCCGGGAGATCCTTCGGATATACACATATGATGGACTACGGGACGGTATCCCGGGAGATCCACTGGACAGTTGAGAAAAGGACTACAGGACGGTATCCTGGGAGATCCTCATTGTTACCATTGGTGTTGAGCTGTACTTATTCTGTGGTTGTTCCGTTCTTGTGTATTTGCTATTGCCTTGCTTAATCTGTCTTATATCACTGCTGTATTTATTATTTCTGTCAGATTATCATACTGTTAATTATTGTTGTTACTATATTTTGTCTCAGTATGGCCCTGACCTTCCTCGTCACTACCCAACCTAGGTTATGCTTGGCACTTACTGAGTACCGTTGTGGTGTACTCATGCCCTTCCTGCGCATGTTTTTCATGTGCAGATCATCCAGGTACCTCTACTCAGGCGCCCTATCAGTGAGGCAGGAGGACTACGGAGACTTCGAGGTAGATCTGCTGCGTCCGCAGACCGACGAGTCTCCCTCTTATTCTATCTTTAGTACTTAGTTTTTCCTTCTTTCGGTTGTTAGAAATTCTGGAGTTTGGAACCTTTACTATACACTTCTGTAGCCTGTGTTGCCCGTGAGTTTTCGGGTTTTGGGAATTGTTTTAGACTTGTGATATTGAGTTGTACTTGCCAAGCGGCATTCAGTACAGTTTCTTTTAGATATTTGATTTGATTTTCTCTATTTTTCCGCAATTAATATATTTCCGCAAATGTTAGGCTTACCTGGTCATGGGGACCAGGTGCCGTCATGACATGTTCACGGTTGGTGAACTAGGGTCGTGACATATACCCTTGCCGGGATTTAATTGGTTAATTGTGTTCCCTTGCCGGGATTTCTATTATTATTTTTTTTATTCCCTTGCCCCTTGTTTGTGATTGTTGTTTGGGTGAGGAAGAGTGTTAAAGCACGAAGGGTGATGCCGTGCATTGTTTGCTATGGTGAGGAAAGAGTGTAAAGCACGAAGGGTGATGTCGTGCCGCACGATGTACCATTCTGTGCCAATTCTATTGATTATATGTGAGGAAAGAGAGTAAAAGCACGAAGGGTGATGCTGTGCACATTTTTATTATTCTAATTGCTTTGGTGAGAAAAGAGAGTAAAAGCACGAAGGGTGATGCCGTGCACGTTTTCATTATATTATTGCTTGGTGAGGACGAGAGTAAAAGAACGAAGGGTGATGCCGTGCACTTGTTTGATTCCTGTTTCTTGTTGACATTGTAGGTATGTTGTTCCTTTCCTTACTTGATGCTTTATTCGGAACTGTTATCTCCCCGCAACATGTTCCCCCCCCCCCCCCATCCTTGCTTGTTTATTTTTGCTTTACTTTCCGCTGTATATTATATAACTGTACAGGTTTATTTGGTAGTCTGGTCCTAGCCTTGTCACTACTTCGCCGAGGTTAGGCTAGGCACTTACCAGCACATGGGGTCGGTTGTGCTGATACTGCACTCTGTGCTCTTTTGCACAGATCCAGGCCCCGGAGTAGCATTTGGTCACCAGTAGTAGATTGGGAGCTATCCTTCAGTCCGAGACTCCGAGGTAGCCCTGCTGGCGTTCGCAGGCCCGGCGTCTCTTCTATCAGTTTTATGTCCTGTTGTCATTTGTACTCGAGACAGACTGTGTTCTTTCTTTCAAACACTTATTTGTAGTAATTCTAGACAGTCCGTGGATGTTGTGACTCCAGGTTCTGGTTAGAGACAGACTGTGTTCTTTCTTTCAAACACTTATCGAATATAGCTTTTATATATATATATATATATATTATACTATACTACATATGTACATAATTTTAAATTGAAATAAAAGTAATTTAATTTTTTTTTTTAGAAATAGCGACCAACATTGGTCGCTATTCTGGTCAAACGGCCAGAAATTAGCGACCAACTTTGGTCGCTATTTTGGTCAAAATAGTCAGAACTTATTTTGCTACCAAAATAGCGACCAAAGTTGGTCGCTATTTCCAAAAACAGTGTCAAAATCGGGTTTCCCCTCCCATTCAAAAAATTTCCCCAAACTCTCTCTTTTCTCTCTCACACTCAAACCCCCCCCCCCTCCCGACTCCCAGCAGCAGCGGTGCCACGAACGCCACCGACGCCCACCGACGGCAGCAGCTCCACCGCCGGCGTCCTCCACTGCCCAGGTATGTTTCTCTCTCCTTTCTTTGTTGTTTTCGAAATACACTGATTTTGTTTAATTTCTCCTAGTTATTTGTAAAAATTAATTGTTCTTAGCTAAATTAAATCTATGATAATTGTTAGTAGCTAAAATATTTAGTTTTACCTACTAATTTGGGGAAGAAATGATTTGAAGGGAAGAAACCCTAAACTCTACTAATTCCTATTAAATTTGTTATGTGTTGTCTTGAATAGTTTAATTAAAATCTAGGGTTTATGATTTGTTATTGTGAATTGAACTTTTAGGGTATGGGTTGAATCTTTGTTATTTCTAGTTTTTGTTTCAATTATACTTTGTATTGTCTTGATAGTTTAGTTAGAATCTAGGGTTTAGGATATGAATTGAACCTTTAGGATATGAATTGGACTTTTAGTTTATGAATTGAACTTTTAATTTATAAATTGAGTATTTTAGGATATGAATTGGACTTTTAGTTTATGAATTGAACTTTTTGGATATGAATTGAAATTTTAGTGTATGAATCGAATTTTTTTTATATGAATTGATCTTTTAATGTATGAATTGAACTTTTTGGATATGAATTGGAATTTTAGTTTATAAATTGAAACTTTAGGATATGAATTGAACTTTTAGAATATGAATTGAACTTTTAGTTTATAAATTGAGTATTTGAGGATATGAATTGGACTTTTAGTTTATGAATTGAACTTTTTGGATATGAATTGAAATTTTAGTGTATGAATCGAATTTTTTGGATATGAATTGAACTTTTAGTTTATGAATTGAATATTTAGTTTGTAAATTGAACTTTTAGTTTGTAAATTGAAAATTTAGGATATGCATTGAAATTTTAGGATATGAAATTAATTAACTAAAAAAAGATTAGGATATGAATTAACTAAATTAATTTGTTCTTGTTTTATTTGTATAGATGGAACATCGTACTTGGATGTACAATAGGAATTATCCTAATCGGCGGGGATTGCAGGAGGATTTTGTAGAAGGGGTTGATGACTTTATTAGACATGCAATGTCACTTCCGCCATACCAAAATGAAGGAGCAATTAGGTGCCCTTGTGTTAGGTGCGACTGTATGAAGCTTGGAAAACCGGCGGAAGTTAAGCAGCATCTTCATAGGAAGGGGTTTATAGCGAATTACTTTGTGTGGAATAATCATGGAGAGATCGACGGTATCCATGGGATATTTCATAACATGGTTGTGGGTGAAAGTAGTAGGTCGGTGGAGAATACAAATCGTGATTCTAGAATTCATGATATGGTTGCGGATGCTTTTGGGATGCACTTAGGGGGTGAGCCCAACGAAAATATTGAACAAACTCCTAATGATGACGTAAAACGTTTTTATGAACAGTTAGAGGAAGCTAGTCGTCCACTACGTAAAGGAAGTCCGCACTCTGAGTTGTCTGTTGTAGTTAGATTACTAAGTATCAAATCTGATTGGAATATTTCTCAAGCAGTGTGACGACCCGGCACGTCGTGACGTGAGTTACCGCCCCGTTTCCTCCATATTATGTTTATCTATGCTTCATTATCAGTATTTGAGGTGATCGAGTTCAATTGGATGGTTTTAGATGGAAATAGACACTTAGTCTCTTT